GTGTCGATGGTTATACAAGCTGTAAGAGTCCCCCAAAAAATGATTAAAAAAAAAAAACACCATCAAAAAAAGTTAAAAGAGAACTCAAAGACTGGGGAAAAGCATTTAGTAACAATATATCAGATAAAGGGCTAATCTCCAAAATCTGTAGAAAACTATTAACATCTTAACAAGAAAAATACAAATAACCCAATTTAAAAAATGGGTACAGGACATAGACAATTTACCAAAGACAACATCCAGGCAGCCAAAAACTCTGTGAAGAAATGTTCAAGTTCATTAGGAATAAGAAAAATACAAATTAAAACAGCAATGAGATACCGCTGCACACTAATACTTTTAGCACAATTGGATAAAACATCGACGAATAAATGCTGCAGAGGATGTGAAGGACTGGATGCTCATTCATTGCTGGTGAGACTGCACCATTGTACATCACTGTGGAACCCACTATGGCACTTCCTTACACGCAAATACAAATACCTTACGATCCAGCAACCTCTCCCCTGGGCATGTACCCCAGAGAAACAAAGCATACAAGAGGAACAGACCTATGCACACCTGGGTTGACTGCAGCAATTTCCTAATAGCGAAAACATGGAGACAAGCAAACGCTTGGACTTCAGAGGAATGAATGGATGAACAAGGTCTGGCACATTTGCCGTGTGGGGCAATACAACAATAACCACTCGTAAACAGTGCAGGGCATGGACAAAACTAAAGAACACTGTGCTTAGCGAACTTAATGTTATACAGAGAAATACTTAATAACACCATAGGATGCGGAAAAGCAGGGAAAAAGACATGTGGGCTTTATACCAAAAGATAAGACTTTGAAGACTCTGAGGAGACTAAGGGGCAGGGGCTGGAAGAGGATGAGGGAGGGATAGGAAACTATCGAGGGAGGGAAGAAGGATGGAAGGGGAAAATGAAAGAAAGTCACAATGATGAAGGGTTTAACGGAACATCTGTGTGGCGGATGTTTCTTTAAAAACCAAGTTAAATAAGAAAATAACTTGTGAAAAAAAAAAAAGGATGCTCACAACCTTAAAAACAAAACTCAAAGGATGCTCACAACCTTAAAAACAAAACTCAGATTCCCCACCTCGTGGGCCTCAGTCTTGGTCTAAGTGGCTCAAAACGGGAGGAAAGCAAAACTGAAGTGGACTTGCAGTTTTCGGACATACATGTTCATTTCAAACATATGGGAAAAACATGTATTGTCCTAACTATTGGCCAACGTTATCCACCTACCATTAATAAAAGAACTGAAAACATGTGTGCTGGACAATGATTGCAGTTTGGGAGCAAAATCACGTTGGGAAGGGAGACTGAAATTGAGGCGTGGCTGAGGAGGTCTCCCAAGATGACCAAAATGCAGAAAACCAACCAAATGCACCGCCGTGGGGTGGATTCCAATCATAACAGGGGCTCATAGGACCCTACAGAACGGGACAGAACTGCTCCTGGGGCCCTGCCACTCTTGGGGTTCTGCCACTCTTTAGGGACGCATAAGCCTTATCTTTCTCCTCAGGAGGGTTGAACAGGTGACGCAGAAGGAGGCTGTGCAGAGCTCCGTGGTTGGTAGTCTTGCCGCGACGCCGCAGTGCTCGGACTTCTCCAGCCTCTCCGGCCCCTCCAGCGAGGAAGGGGTCAACGCCAGAGAGGACGCCCCTCCCCCCGGGGGGCGGGCCAACTCTGCGCACGCGCAGGCGCGGGCTGCGGAGTGCGCCTGCGCGGAGCGCCGGGCGACGTGGCCCGGTCCAAGTCCGGAAGTGACCCTAGCGGAGCAGGAAGGCTTCCACTCCGAGCCGAGTCTGCGGGTCCTGGTGTTGCTGCTTCGTGTTCCCGCCGGCGCCGTCATGCTTAAGAAATTCGACAAGAAGGACGAGGAGTCGGGTGAGCGGGCCCGGCAGTCCTGGGGCGGGGTCCCCCCCGCAAGCTCTAAAGCCCCTACCTTAACCGAGAGACCGAGGCCCCGAGCGGGAGAGGGGCTTTGGCCAAGGCCCGCAGCTGACCGCGCATCCTCCAGGGCCCCCATGTGTAAGCTCGGACTGACCTGCCTGATGACCACGGGCAGGGCGCCTCCCTGGACCTGTTTCCGCACCTGTCAGCGGAAGAACGGAGCTAGATGCTCCGGTGTGCCCTCTGGGACGCCGTTGCTGCCTGCCAAGCCCAAGTGTAATCTGTAGGGCCGCTGTCTGGTGGCTGAGGACCTTGACTCCTTTATGCACTTAGCAAATGTATTTGGGGCCCTTACTGTATGCCCGGCACTGCTCTGACCCCTGGATGTAGGAGCGGGAAAACAAAGTAGACCTGGGATGCTTTAAGCTGCAACTGTTTAATGCACCGAGTACGATGCTCACAGGCATCAACCTGAGAATTATACACCTGATTACTCTGCAGTGAAAACCTAGTCATGAGAAGCTGTGGTTTCTTGCCTGTGGTGGGTACTCCGTTAAGTGAGGGTTGTGTGAACGAGTGCAAGACATGTCCCCGTAGCAGAGGACTGTCCCAGGACTGCTGGAGTGAAGGATCCTTGCAGTCCATCTATGAGCCGATTAGAGCGCCTGGGTAGCCAGCCCTGAGGAGTTTGAACTTGACCAAACAGACAGTAAGGATGTCTGTTCTCTTTCTGTTTGACAGAGTTTTTAAGATTTAGGGACAGAATGGTCCTCAATCTCTCTTCTCCTTGCCTATAGGTGGAGGCTCCAACCCGTTTCAACACCTAGAGAAGAGTGCGGTACTCCAGGAGGCAAGTGTCGTTTGTGTCCACCCCATCTCCCACTGTAAATGCTCATGATGGATGTTAGGGAAATAGTACCCAAGCCAAAGCCATCTCACGGCTGTCAAGTTAGTTCTGATGCTTATTGACCCTATAGGACAAAACCCCAATGGGGCTTTGATGCTGTAAATCCTGATAGAAAGCAGAAAGCCTCATCTTTTTCCCATGGAAAGCCCGGTGTGTTTTTTATCACCAACCTTGTGGTTAGCAGCCCAAAGTGTAACTCACTCTGCCACTAAACCTGTGGTTCTCAACCTTCCTCATGCCACGACCCTTTGATACAGTGCCTCATGTTGTGGTGACTCCCAACCATAAAATTATTTTCATTGCTGCTTCATCACTGTCATTTTGCTACTGTTATGATTCAGACGACCCCTGTGAAAGGGTTGTTCGACCTCCAAAGGGGTCTCAACCCACAGGTTGAGAACTGCTGCACTAAACCAAAACCAAATTCACTGCTTTCAAATCGGTTGCGACTCATCTCCACTGTATAGGACAGGGTAAAACTGCTCCAGTATGTTTCAGAGACTATTTACTGGAGTAGAAAGCCTCTTCTTTCTCCCTCAGAGCAGCTGGTGTTTTAGAACTGCTGACCTTGCTTGCAGTTAGCAGTCCAACGCATGGCCACCACCCCACCAGAGCTCCTTCAATAGAACCATGTTCAGTACTGATTGAGAAGGCAATAGGAGAGAAACCTGTGCCTAGAAAGACAGAGAAACTTTTTCCCCAGACAGATTGTGTCTACATGTTTGTAATTTTGTTGTTCTCCTTCCAGTTAATAAACGCTTTTAAAAATCATTTTATTGGGGGCTCGTACAACTCTTATCACAATATATACATACATCCATCGTGTCAAGCACATTTGTACATTTGTTGCCATCATAATTTTCAAATCATTCTCTTAATACTTGAACCCTTCTATCAGCTTCTCAGTTTTCCCCTCTCTCATGAACCCTTGATAATTTATAAATAAAATTTTTTTCATGTCTTACACTGACCGATGTCTCCCTTCACCTACTTATCTGTTGTCCATTCCCCTGGAAGGCATTCTAGGTAGGTCATTGTGATAGTTTCTTAATTGTTTGCTGATCAGTAGGTGTGCATATCCCTAACAGTAAGGAGAATTGTTAAGATGAGTTAAGAAAACTTAAACTCCGTACGGAAATAAGCTTGTCTAGGCAAGTGTGTTTATTTACCCTGGGACTTCTCAGGAAGGTAATCGTTTTGGTGGCTTCTTCGTAGGCCCGTGTATTTAACGAAACTCCCATCAACCCTCGAAAATGTGCCCATATCCTCACCAAGATCCTTTATCTCATAAACCAGGTAAGAGGGCGAGACTCGCAGATGGGGAAACTCGTGCTGAGGGAGGTTGGGGGAGTTACGCATGTTATCCTAGTGTGTTGTCTCTACTGGAACTTCTGCAGGGTCTGAGGATCTGGCTTAGGCTGACCTGGCAGGAGCCATTGGCCCCTTCTGGCTCAGGCTGATGTCTCGCTCTTGATTACCACAGGGGGAACATCTGGGGACCACCGAAGCAACTGAGGCCTTTTTTGCCATGACCAAGCTCTTTCAGTCTAATGATGTAAGTGCCGCAGCCCCACCTTTCCTTGGGGGTGGCCGTGGCTTGTGCCTTCCTAGTCCTAGGTTGGTGGGAGAGCCCTGGAAAGCTAATCCCAGCAGTCAGCATGGGCTGCCTTTGTGCAGAGTTTTCTCCTGACTCTGGCCCTCGTGCTGAGCAAGGAGTGAGAGGGTTTTCCCCTTCTCTTTGACAGCCCACACTCCGTCGGATGTGCTACCTGACTATCAAGGAAATGTCCTGCATCGCAGAAGATGTCATCATTGTCACCAGCAGGTGAGTCTTTAGGGCAATGCGTGGCTCCTTTGATGGGTCCACTGACACAGACCATTTTCCCTCGTGTGTACATTTTTGATGTGTATCAGACTTGGGGTTGGCATAGGTGCCTGGAGTCCTTTCCGCTTCTGCCTCTTCATCTTTCAGTTACTGCTGCCAGCCTTCAGGGGGTGCTGTTCCCCTCTACCTCTCTGGCAATAACGGGCATGAACCTTTCCTTCCCTTGGTTCATTATAGTCACCAAGCCAGCCTTGTACTTCCACGAAGACTTTAATGAGTACTAAGAGAGAGTAACAGGAAAAATAGAGAATCCAAGTGGTATACCGACAGGCATGCTTACTGTGTACTGCTTTAGGTGATTCAGGAGACAAATTACAGATTATATTACTACCACACCCCTCAACTTGAATTTGGGTCAGAAATGCCTTCCTAGAAGAAGCTGTCCAAACAGTCCTAAAGGATGAGTGTGAACTAGCCTGGCCAAGTGGAGGTGAGGGGTGAAGGATGCTCCAGGCGGAGGTAACACGCCTGCAAAGGCCTGAAGGCCAAACACAGTCTGTCTGGGGAACCTCCACCGTAAAGAGGTATGCTTGACGTTCATGACAGTAGCAAGCCACTGTTGTCATATGATCCCAAATCGGTTGGTGTGTTTTATGGAAGCTCCCTTGAGCTGCTGTGTGGAGTTTGGTTTGGAGGAGCAAGAATAGTTTGGAGAGGGGATAATGGAGCCTTGCAAGACGTGGGAAAGGACGGGAACTGGGGAATGGAAGGCCCAGGACTGAGCAGGCAGGCCGGCCCCCACCCACATTAAAGAGCTTCTTCCCCCACAGCCTGACAAAAGACATGACTGGGAAGGAGGACAACTACCGGGGCCCAGCTGTGCGTGCCCTCTGCCAGATCACTGATGTGAGTCTTGCCCGCCACCCTTTCCTCCCTGCTGCCCTACTGCTCATTGGGGAACTGGGTCTTGGCCTGGCTTGCATTAGGGGGGCCCTCACTTCCTGGGCATCGTCCAGAGCTCTGGGATGAGGGTGGTGTGTAGGAACACATGGAAGTAGTTAGTCTCTTCCTCTTCCCACATGCTCCTCCACAGCCCAGCGCCTGCCCTCCAGGGGCTGCTGAGCAGTGACGGGTGCCCTTGCCCCCACTCCTCCTCTCCACAGAGCACCATGCTGCAGGCCATTGAGCGCTACATGAAGCAGGCCATTGTGGATAAGGTGCCAAGCGTCTCCAGCTCCGCCCTGGTGTCCTCTCTGGTGTGTATCTGCAGGTGGGATGGAACCTCGGAGAAAATCTCAGAACCACTCTACCATTAGAAGAAAAGTGTGTTGTATCCCCACGTCTGAGGATGCGGATCTCACTTACCCTCTCACTAAAGAGATCGGGAAACTGGCTCAGTGGTGGGGCCTGGTGGGAGGACAGGATGGCCTTAGCCTATCCCTTGGGGCTACAGAGGGTTGAAGGTTGAAGCTGCCAGCAAATCTTCAGTCATGGTAGGGAGTGTGAGGGTGAGAGCCATCCTGAGTTTGGTACCATGGTCACAGAGGATCAGGACAGCATTTGAGGTCTGGG